ATAGCTGGGTGGAGGGCTCGATCCCCAGTAGGGGGTGTGCAGGAGGCAGCAGATCAATGATTCTCTCTTATCATTGATGTTTCTCTCTCTCTCTCTCTCTCTCTCTCTCTCTCTCTCTCTCTCTCTTCCCCTCTGAAATAAATAAAGAAATATATTTTTTTAAAAATAAAGAAACTAGGCCCTAACCAGTTTGGCTCAGCGGATAGAGCATCGGCCTGCAGACTCAAGGGTCCCAGGTTCGATTCCGGTCAAGGGCATGTACCTTGGTTGCAGGCACTTCCCCAGTAGGGGGTGTGCAGGAGGCAGCTGATCGATGTTTCTCTCTCATTGATGTTTCTAACTCTCTATCCCTCTCCCTTCCTCTCTGTAAAAATCAATAAAATATATTTTTAAAAAATAGAAATAAAAATAAAGAAACTAGTTAATGATTTATTAAAGAAACGAAGGCTTAAAAAAAAAAAAGAAAGAAAGAAACTTGGGCTCACAGAAGTTAAGTAATGGGCCCAAGGTCACAGCCAGTCAACTGAGCTGAGCTATGAATCAGCCTAGGTTCCTTTGCCTCTAGAGCCCATGCTGTTAAGTGCTACACAGCATCAAACCTCCATAGATAGTAAAGGAAACACATCTACAAAGGTCAAGGAGGGCAAAACGGTCAATGTTTTCAAATACAGGTGTGAAACAACATGATTTTTCCCTGTAGGCCATGATTCTTTGTGTTTAAAAGGACAGTTGTCCCACAGTTGGTCCAAAGTTCACACTTAGAATGAAACTATTATGGTTTGTTTGTTTTTAATCCTCACGGGAGGATATGCTTAGAGAGGAGGAGGGAGGGAGGAAGGGAGAGAGAAACATTGATGTAAGAGAGAAACATGGATCGGTTGTCTTTCGTAGATGCTATCACTGGGGAAGCTACCTGACACCCAGGCATGTGCCCTGACTGGGAATCAAACCGGCCACCTTCAGGTGCACATGACAATGCTCAACCAACTGAGCCACACTGGCTGGGCTTGCGATCTCTTCTTAAATCACCGGAGAAAAAAAATTATGAGCTTGATTGTCTCAATTTTAAGTTTCTCACAGAGATCTTTCTTAAGTCTTTGAAAATTGGTACATTATAAAAATCAATGGGTAAGTAACAGACCAAGTTTGGGAAATTTTAGTTGGTTATGCCTAGCTCAACTTTTTTTTTTTAAATATATTTTTATTGATTTCAGAGAGGAAGGGAGAAGGAGAGAGAGAAACATCAATGATGAGAATCATTGATCGGCTGCTTCCTGTACACCTTCTACTGGGGATAGAGCCTGCAACGGGCATGTGCCCTTGACCGGATTCGAACCTGGGACCCTTCAGTCCACAGGCTGATGTTCTATCCCGAGCCAAATCGGCAAGGGCAGCTCAACTTTTTGGTTAAAGAATTATGTGCTCAACAGCTATCATTTTATTAAGTTCAAAGGATTAATTGAATATGTTAATTCCATAACTGTTAACTCAATTTTCTGGTCGTCTTAAGATTAAGGTGTTCTGCAAAATAATAATGGTTCTGTGAGAGCTGACAACACTAAGATGATCAAATACATCAACATATTAGCAGTATCTATTAGTAGAAACTAAAGAAACAAAAAGATAAATGCAAACACAAATAAAAGGATAAAAAAATTGTATGATGACAGTGCTACTTGGGAACGCCCACCCCTACCAGACTAAGTCTCAGTTCATGAGAATCACACATGCCATCCACATGTAACTTTATTTTAATTTACCTTGGACCACGGAAGACAATGCCTTGAGAGAGAGAAACATCCATGGGAGAGTGAAACATCACCGGGGATCAAGCCTCAAACCCAGATACTTGCCCTGACCAGGAATCCAACTAGCAATCTTTCGGTGGGCAGGACAACGCCCAGCCAGCCAACCGAGCCACACCAGACACGGGTAATTTTAAATGTTCTGGTAGCTGTTTTCTTAACATAAAAAACAGGCTAACATAATTGTAATAATATACTTTATTCAACTTAATATCTGCAACATATTTCAACATGTAATCAGTATTTTAGAAACAGAAGTATTTGGGGGTTTTCATTCTAAGTCTCAAATCTGGCATGTATTTCATATTTGCAGCACTGACCATATTTCAAGTGCCCCACAGACCACGTGGGACAGCACAGATCTCAGGGATCACAGCAGGAAAGAGGCTGTGGCCTGCAACCTGCCACTAGAAATGAAGGACCTGGGTAAAGAAAGGGGGCATTTAGCTCCAATAATTCTGTTAAAACAAGACTTCAACTAAGAAATGAATTTTTAAAAAATATTTTAGCAGTTGTTTTCACCACATTTTAACTAGTCTTGCTGTAGTTGTGACGCCTTGGGATTATCCATAACCTTCTTCCTCCTCCCTTTCCATTTCTGCACTCCCTAGTTCTCTCAACTATTTCAAAATTATAAATAAAACAAAACATACTTCCAGGTGTTTTCCACAACCTGAACAAACTTAAAAATCTGCACAGGTACAGGCAATGGGAAGGCACTGAAGGATTGCGAAGAGGGAATGGAAACAATGTTTCAGAGTCAAGTACCAATGTCACAGGGGGAGCTGCAGGAGGTAGCTGGAAAGGCGCCAGTTCAGAGTGTTCCACAGAAGTCTTGAACCGGAGTTCTCACACTGATACTAGAAGGACAAAGGCCAGACGCCCTCGCCCTGTCTAGTGACTCAACTTTAGTAGTGATTCAACTACATCTCATAAATGCCAGACGAGGGAGAGGAAGGCTGCCACAGAGAGTTGGTCAAGTCAGAGGGGAGCCCCCCTCTTGCCTTCCCGCCGGGAGAATCCGAGCAGAACCATTCTGCAAAGATTTGGCTGTGGCAAGCATTTGCTTTTTCTTAACTCATTGACTCGACACCAGACCAAATTCTCATTCATTCTCAGAGTACCTATGATAAATTTCAACAGTAGCCGATAAATTCTGCTCGTGAAAAAAAAAGAATACAAATTTCTGGTATGTCTACACATTTTGGAAAGGAGGTGAGGGTGGGGGTGGGGAAAGACTGTACTTTAGTGGTGAGCAGGTCAAAGTACATCAGCCTTCTATTTTAACGCAAACGATGACTAAACAGTTCAAACATTGCAGTGACAGCATGTTCAACAGTTTACTATTTTTACCGGGTGAAATTGTGTATTTACCAATGCTGACCATGTAAAATTAAGGAAATCAAAATTATAGCTGGATATTTCTCAACTCTTTAAACAATTCCGCTCGTTACTCAGAAACCTCTCCCACTAGGTTATGCGCTTGAAAGGTAAAATGATTCAAATATTGCAATTATTTTAAAGAATGAAAAAGCATCCAGAGCTTTTGAAGACATGGACTTGGCCGTTTCTAGAATACAGACTCAATTACGGTCACCGGGCGAAGAAAACGTCTTGGTTCAAGTTTTTAAAATGTGAATCTGCTGCTAAATTCTGCACTTTAACATGGTTCACTTTGTGCCCGTTTCGCCTCAATTTATTAAAAGAGTAAGCCTGCAAGTTCCTTTCTAAACATACCAGATTGAATCAACACTGCTTTAAGGTCGGCTTTGCTCCAAACAATCCGTTTTGGGGTTTTTGTTTGTTTGTTTCTTGATTGTACAGCAACACGTATGGTTGGTTCATCAACATGACGCTCCTTGGACGCTGGGGGTGAGGGGTGGTGGGAGAGTGCTAACAACATAGAGTAGACCTTCCTACTGAAAGCAACAGAGGAACGGGTCGGAAAAAGAGGCCACGAACCAGTCCCGAGTGATGTTGCGTTTAATGAAGGTTAAGTTAACAGTTTAGAGAAGTTCTGGGTGCGATGCGCCCGGCAAGATTTGAACAGGCGCATGAAGACACCGGGCTGAGCGGGGTGGGACGCAGCGCGTTTCATCCTCGATGACAGCACCCCCGCCAGCCCTGCGGGTGCTTGGCCGTACGCAAAGGTTGAAAACGCAAAGCCAACAAACCCGCCGAGCCGGGCCGAACGCGCACGCACCCCAAACTCTGCAGCGCTGCGTTCCCTTTCCTTAGGAGACGGGGGGACCTAACACCTGGCCACGGGCTAACCAAGGCTTCGGGAAAGCGGAGGATGGGCTGCAAGCCGAAACACCAACCATCCCCGGCTCCCCCGCGGCCTTCCACGCCCGCCTCTGCACTCTGCATGCAGCACAGGTGGACCTCGGCCTCCAACCAGCGCGCCCCCGGCCACTCATTCCGGAGACGAGCCCCAGCGCGCCATCCCCGCGCGCCTCCAGGAAACGGGGCCTCCCGGGTCCCAGGGACGCCCACTCGTAAAAAGGAACCGGGGTCCGGCCATCCATGGCAGGTGGCGGCGCGGCCTCCGGGGACAAAGCAGGGCGCTCCACGGCGCAGGCCCGCTGCCCACCCGGCCCCTGGGATCGGGCCGCGCCGCCACCCCCGCACGCCCCCCCAAACCCGGCCCCGATCGCCGGGGACGCCCCGCAGCCACCCGTGCGCCCGCCCAACCGCCGCCCAGGAGCGCGCCGGGCGCCCAACCGCCGTCCCGGCCCAACCAACGCGGGCAGGGGAGAGAGGTGCGCGCGGCCGGCGGAGCGTGCGAGCCATCGGGGGTCGCGGGGAGGACGTGTGCGCGGGGAAGACGGGGGCGCAGCGGCGCCGAGGCGGTCGCGGGACGCAGCGCCGGGAGGGACGCCTGCAGGGGGGTCTGCCCCGTTCCCCTAAGAAGGTGCCGATGGTTTGACCCCCCCACCCCGAGTGAGGTGCCGCGTCCCAGCCCCGGCTGGACTGTACCATCGGGCGGTGCCGCCGGGATTTCTCCCCCCCACCACCACCATCCATTCCCCCCCCACCCGGGTCCGCGGTCGGTTGGCCCCGGCCGGGCTCTGAGACGCGGAAAGCGCTTGGCGCCATTTTGGGTGGGACTAAGCAAAGACGAAACACCCTCCCAGTCGCTGGGGTACTCTGGACGCCGGCTTATCCGGTTCCCTTAATCCTTTAGGTACTTACACGATGTTGGGTGAGGGGAGCTGGAAGATCAGCGGGTCCCCGATCCTCTCTCCCTAGGGGTGATGGAAATCAATCCCCCCCCGCCACCTCCAGGTGGTTCTTCCCGCCGCAGAGTGGGAGCAGCATAAAAGGCGGGGCCTCATTACCATAATCTGCCTGGCAACCTGATCTCGGCGTTATGTGATTGGCTGAACTCTATAAACCCCATGCCCAGCCTAGATACCAGTAACGCTGGGACGAACTGACAGGCCCAGATTTAAGACTCATGACGAAGATTTCCGAGCGGCTTTTTCACTCGGCGGAGAAGGCAAAAGGAGATCCACACAATGGCCCAATGACGGAAGGCCTCTTTATTTCGTGCTCTGCTGTTCTTTGAAAATCCAATCAAAGAGCGGGTCTCAGGCAGGGCTCGCCTGCGTTCGCACTCTAAGCCAATCAGAAAAGCCGACTCTTCGGATGCAGAGTCGGCCAGGCTCTCGGGGTCCCGCGGGCTCCGGGGCGGGGAAACCACCAGCCTCCGAGCTCCAGGTGGTGGGGACGCGCTGCATGCAGGTGGGGGTTCCAGGCCCCCGACGCCCGAGAAGCCATGTGTCCTGCAGCGGCGTTCCTGCCCAGCGCGCAGCTGAACCGGTGCTCCGCGCGGAAAGCCGCGCCCCGGCCTCGGGCTCTAGGGTCGCGGGGCTGTGCCCGGGCCCGAGGGCTTCCTTCCACCTCTGACCCGCCCCCTCTTAGGTCCCTGCCCAGCCCTGGAGCGCTTCACTGCATCTATCCTTTCTCCTGACCATTCAGATAAAGGGAATGTTTTTTTCGGAAACGTGGAGTATTATTATTCAATGCTGGTTAACCAGTAGTTTACCCCTTTCTTAACCAAGGGCCCCCACACCCTACCATCCCTTAAAATTGCCTTCTCCAAGGGTAATCAAGTGCATGGAAATAAGCTCAAGCTTTGGAGCAAGAACCGCAGCTCTCGTTCTACCCGTGATATGAATGGATGGCGACTGGATCTCCAAGAGACCTGAAAACGTTGCACCCTCAGGGAGCAGGTTTCCCATCCACGACATCTACCCGTCTGCGTTATTGTGAAGAGTAAATAAGATTTACAGCCCGGCCCGTGTGGCTCAGTGGTTGAGCTTCGGCCTATGAACCAGAAGGTTCTGGTTCGATTCCCGTCAGGGCTCATGCCCAGGTTGTGGTCTCCAATACCCCGTGTGGGGCGTGTAGGAGACAGTCCATCCGTGATTCTCATCATTGATGTTTCTATCTCTCCTTCTCCCTTCCTCTCTGAAGTCAATTTTTTTTTTAATTGTTTTTAAAGGCTGCAAGAAAGGGATAAATCCACAGACCAAAAAAGAGGAGCAAAGGGAAAACAGATCAAAGTGGCTGACCAGGAACCGAAAGAAGATCTGCCAGCAGAAAATGGGGCAACTAAAAACATAAGAGGGAGGAGATTCCACCTCGTCCCATTTTTTTAAAGTGTAAATGCTTTTTTATATTGATGTTTTTAATTGATGCAAATCAGATAGAAAAAAATTAGATGGATTTTTTTTCAGCACATATGGCACTATAGAAGAGGAAACACAGTGATACTGTTACCAAGGCCCTGGATGCATAATTTTAAAGACTGAGAGGAAATAAGCACCACTGGTTAGAGAAATTTCTCTGATTATAAAAAGTAGGAGACCAGTAAGAAATGAGAGGAAACTCTATTGGACTCTAAATGCCTACCATGATACTTCATGTTTGGATTTTAAGTTGCTTGAGCTTTTTGCTCCTTCTCGTCAAACATTAGCAAGAGACAGGTACCGCCTAGATTTAAATTTTAGTAGGACCTTTTGCCTCCTTACCAGTGTTTTTTATTTACTCCTGTGGTCATGGATATAAATGTTCTCTTAACTTCTCCTCCTTTTCATATTAAAACTAGAGGCCTGGTGCACAAAATTTGTGCACAGGTAGGGTTCCTAGGCCTGGCCGGCTATCAGGGCTGATCGGGGTCTTCCAGCTGCCCACCAGGGCCTGCCTTCATTCCACGCTGCCCCCTGGTACACACGTCATAGCGAGCGATCGAACTCCCAGTCTCCTGGTCGAACTCCTGAGGGGACACTTTGCATATTAGCCTTTTATATAGATAGATAACCAGTAGAGGGCTTGAAAATTAGGCAGGAAGTTTTTTCCCTCAAGAAGTCTTTTCAGCCGAACCGGTTTGGCTCAGTCGATAGAGCGTCGGCCTGCGGACTGAAAGGTCCCAGGTTCGATTCCGGTCAAGGGCATGTACCTGGGTTGTGGGCACATCCCCAGTAGGTGTGCAGGAGGCAGCTGATCGATGTTTCTCTCTCATCGATGTTTCTAACTCTCTATCCCTCTCCCTTCCTCTCTGTAAAAAATCAATAAAATATATTAAAAAAAAAAAAAAAGTCTTTTCAAATTCTAGTATGGAACCCAATTTCTTTTCATTTTAGTCAAGTCAAAAAGCAAAAATTTTAAGTTAACTTTTTTTAATTTCCTCACAACAAAGAAACATTAATTACCAATACCTACAAATGTAATAATTGCTGATGACTAGGTCCATAGAAAAACATACATTTTTTTTGTTTGTTTCTTCACACAAAGTAACCTACACATTCAAACATCTCAACTATTCAGGTTGTGTTCATACCCTGATCATTCAGTCTATTCATATATGAATTGTTGGCAGTGTTCCTCCAGGTTAGAGAAGAACATTAAAATCCTGGTTTTTAACCTTGAGACTATGAATCCCTCTAAACATTTTATGCAAAATTGCATGTTCAGTTCCTGGCCAGGTAGCTCAATTGGTTAGAGCATCGTCTCGATATGCCAAGGTTGCAGGTTCGATCCCATGGTTACCAGCAGGGAGAAGACCTCGTCCCCACCTGTTCCTCTTGGGGGTGAATTTCTTGTGATACCAGAAGAAAAAGAATTTTCTGACCCTCGGGAGGATGAGTTATTGTAGAAAGTCTTATTTCTGTGGAATCAAACCCCTGAGTTTCAAAGGTCCATTTCCCTTAGTCCAGTCATAGAGGAAGTGTAGCTGGGGCTTCAGCAGAGCTAAAAGCAGAGCCAGTGTTCAGAGTTTCCGTTCCAGGCTGGAGCCGAGTCCCGTCCAGCATCAGCCTAGCTCAGCTTGTTTCCTGCTGCGGTCCATTAGTCCCTTGTGTGTGAGTCCACATGGGCCATATGGGTGAATGCGAGAGCCAAGAGAGAGTTCCTCTGGTTAGGGGATTATGTATCCCCAAATTTTCACGGGCTTGCGTTGGCTCCACCATTTCTGGTCAACACATGGTTCCCTTGGCTAGATTGACTGGCAGGTACCTTCCCCGTGACCCCACCTTCACTGTGCATGTGTCTGTCTCTCCTTTGTTGGGCTCCTTCCCCCAGTGACCTGCAGGGAACAGGCCAGTGGCTCCCTGGGGAATGTAAAGTTGCAGCTTCCTGGTGAAGCTGCCCAAATGACATGCCTATAGTGTCTGGCTTCCCCCTCTACTCCTTTCCTATGATTAAAAACTAGCTAATTACAGGGCACATACAAGAGTCAACCCATGAATGCATAAATAAGTGGAATGACAAATTGATGTTTTTCTCTCTCTTTCTTTTCCTCTCTCTCTAAAATTTAATTTAAAAAAAAATACCATGTTCAACTTTATGTGTGTATTTCCCCCAAGGACAGATTTCTGTTCCCAGTGCATCCCAAGGAGTTTAAGATCCCATAAAAACTTAGAATCACTACTTTGTAATAATTATTGAGATTTAACAGTCTGTTCCAGGCTTTTATGTCTCTGCATCTATTTTGTTCATCAGTTTATTTTGTTCTTCGGGTTCCACATATGAGTGAGATCCTGTGACACTTGTCTTTCTCTGACTGGCTTATTTCCCTTAACATAATACTCTCCAGGTGTCTCCATGTTGTCTCAAGGGTAAGAGATCCTTCTTTTTTACAGCTGCATAGTATTCCATGGTGTAAATGTACCACAGCTTTTTAATACAGTCATCTACTGATGGGCTCTTGGGCTGTTTCCAGCTCTTAGCTATTGAAGTCATTTTTAAAGTAAGGTTTTATTGAGCAGAAAATGTTAGCCAGAAGGCCGGTCTGGGGCATAGAGTCTAAACTACCAGCAGCATAACTAGGTAGAAAAAAACAGCATGTTTGTTGTCCCAGAATTCTGCAGACGCTTTTATACATCATTAAATTTACAAATGCTAATCTGAAACTTGCTAAATTTTAAGTTCTTTTAGTGGCTTTAACACATCCATTTCCCAGAATAGCATTTGCAGAACTGTTAAATGTTGACTCATGTAGTTTGTCGAGTGTGAGCAACATTGATAGCCTATAGAGACCTCTCATTTATGTTTTTCTTTCCTTTATTTTCATGTTTTCTTAAGAAAATAATTAGCAGTTCAAGTTTAAATGACCATTAAAGCCTTTCAAATTACATTCCACTAAACTTGTCTAATGTTAGGAAAATTAGCACTCTTACTATTTCTTTAAGAATGTCTTCTACTTTGAGAGGTGAACACTTCTGCAATTTTTTTTAAAATTTCTATTTTTTATTTATTTATTTTTAAAAATATATTTTATTGATTTTTTACAGAGAGGAAGGGAAAGGGATAGAGAGTTAGAAACATCGATCAGCTGCTTCCTGCACACCCCAAACTGGGGATGTGCCCGCAACCAAGGTACATGCCCTTAACCGGAATCGAACCTGGGACCTTTCAGTCCGCAGGCCGACACTCTATACACTGAGCCAAACCGGTTAGGGCTTTTTATTTATTTTTTTAAATATTTTTTTATTGATTCCAGAGAAGAAGGGAGAGGGAGAGAGAGAGAGAGAAACATCAATGATAAGAATCATTGATTGGCTGCCTCCTGCACATCCCCCACTGTGGATCAAGCCGCAACCTGGGCATGTGCCCAGCCGGGGAATCAAACTGTGACCTCCTGGTTCATAGGTTGTTGCTCAACCACTGAGCTACGCTGGCTGAGCTTTAATTTTTATTTTAATATGTTTTTATTAATTTTTTAGAGAGAGAGAAAGGAAAAGGGAAAAAGATAGAAACAGTGATGTGAGAAACATCCATCGGCTGCCTCCTGCACACCCCCTACTGGGGATTACTGGGGATGGAGCCCACAACCTGGACATGT